ACAAGTGTCTCCACTCCGCCGCGGGGGGGGGGGGGGGGGGGGGGTATTAGGAAATGTATTTATAACCTTCCCATGTTGGTTAACTTTTTTTTGTTGTTTTTTGTGTTGGAATGATCTTAGAAAGAGGGGGGGGGGGGGGGGGGGGGGGGTATGGACAATTTCGGGGGCAAAGCACCCTAGAAGTTTTCTTTGTTGTAACAGAACTTGACTCCAGTGTCCTTGTCGCTGTACTGGTCTGACATATTATGTAGGACGTGTGATAGAACACTAGGACCACAGAAGAAGACTCCAATTTCTCGCCTGGAAATTTAAGAAAAAAGAAAGCAATCAAATTTTATTGGAGGAGAAACAGATCACTACCATCCAATTTATAACCATTTTAAAGTTAGGGGAGAATTTTATTCTTGGACTTTCAATAAATCTGGCTTCTTTTTAATTATTTAAGATGCTTCAGAATATATCACTGAGTCAAGGAGAATAAAGAGGGCTGAAATAACCTTGAGAACACTACAGAGCAAACTTTTACGTGAGACATAGCTGGAACCACCAGGGAAGATAAGAACCAGGACTTTCCTACTTCTAGTTCTACTCACTTACTCTTCAGTGCTTTCACATTGAAAAAAGATGAATGAAAATCAAAAAGGGAAGAAGAAAAAGAAGTAATATAAGATAAACTTAAGAATTATAGCAGAGGGAGTTACAAAAACTGAATGTGAATAACTATCTGCTCTAATCATAGAGGGGATTAAGTTCCAATCCTTTATTGTTCTCGGAAAGAAGCTAAAAAGCGTAGGGTCTAATATTCGTCGAGGGGCTTCTTGTCAAATGGAGCGACTGCTGGTTGTAATGTGAAGCTGGTAAAGTGATAATGTTGTGGTGAGCTTTGTGAAATGTTTGAAGACGAATTTTCCCTCCGTCCTTTGAGGGTTCTAAGGACAGCGAAAGCACCGTTCGCGATACACTCTAGAATTCCAGTCGTAATCTCATCTTATAAATCTGGCTGCTCATCTCTGGTCCGCTTCAATCTTGTCTATTTGATCTTGCCGGTAGGGATCCCATATAGCAGAGGCAAATTCTAGATGAGGTCTTACAAGGGTGAGTCTTGGCATAGACTGTTAAATTACAATCCCACATGCGGAGATCAGGATGAAAAGTACACAAACGCAACGCTATGTCAAAGAAAGCAGGGGAAACTTTGCTTTGTGAGCCTGTAAGGTAAGCCAGTCGTTTAGATACAACCTTGTTTTGGTACGAATTTAAGCAGTGAAACTGCACAACAGTTTCGAACACATAAAGCTGATAAAGCACAGTTAGCGGGTGAACAAGAAAAACAAATGTCGTGAATATATCTTGGTCTATAAGCCAACTACGCGAAACTATTTGTACCTAGACTGCAAAACAGTCCGTATTTTTGTGTATTCAAGTACGCGCGAGCAGTCAAGCAAAAGGTCTGGAATGAGGCTGAAAACAGAGAGCAAGACTGGTGAGAGACGCTAAAAATACGTTTTTTTTTTCTCTCGCCTCACAAGCCCTACGGGCTACGGGCGTGTGAGGCTCGCGCGCTTCGCGCGCGTAAGACTCTTACGCCACGCTTTACCGATTTCTTTACTGATTTTGAGAAAAAAACCGACTGTTTTGCAGTCTAATTTGTACCTCGAAAGACTTGACTTGTATCGAAAAGACTTTGTATCAAAATGACTTTGTATCGATACGACTTGTATCGAAACGACGTGTATCGAAACAACTCTATAGCAAAACGACCGTTATTAAGCCCTGCGAGAAGCAGTTGCAATCGTCAAAGCAGCGGGCGATTTTAGGTTCTATATATAGCTAAGCAATTAGCCTTATCAAGTGGAAACTTTGTCAGGTTAAGAAGAAACCTACCTATATTGAAAGTAAAGGTTGATTGACTTATTAGCTAGTAGATCACTGACACAGTGTCGATTTATTTGGAACATAAATTTATTGTAAGCGAGCAACGATACAAAAACAAAAGAAAGGCACATGTACTATGCACAAAGTCCAATTAAAGGACGTACGCCATCCGCAGAAAAGGTCTGCAATGAAAAACACTCAACCGCACGTACTTAAAACGGCTTGGAAACTAAAATTTNTTAAGTACCAGTTGACGTGATACTAATTAGCGATAATGTGCAAGATATTGTCTTGAACTAGTCGAACGCAAGGCGGTACTAACAAACGCAGAACTAAGCAGAACGTCTCAAAAAGGAAGGAAAAAGTCTCGAAAGGCTCGATTACGCTGACGGCTAAATCTATTAAGTTTAAGTTGAGTGAAAACAGCTTGCCTTATCGAAGTAGAAACAATGCCGGTAAAAGTCAAAAGCTGGGTTTTTTCCGTTAACACGCTGCATCGGGTACCGAAAATTTTCCGTTGTCTGTTTCCCGTTTAGCTGCATTCAGAGAAGTTTCTTAATGAGCTGGGAGGTATAAAATAACCCGTCTATACACCAAGGATGATAAAAACAGTAAAACACTTTGTGGTCTATGTAATAATGAGATACACGCTCCGTATGTGCTCAGAATACGGACTGTTAGCAATGCTGACGGTTTAACGAACCGTACGATCCGTCAACTGCTCTTAATGGTCCGTAACAGTGCGGCAGCATCGGACATGACCGGCTCTTTTTGTCTAATTATCGCGCTAAATCTCCACTTTCATAATGGAGGAATGGTTTGGCATACGACTTTTGTTTGCTCTTTATCTTTGGTCTCAAGGTCTCATTTTCAAATGGCCCTTGGCAAAGGAAATGACAAGATGATTATTGATTCTTCCTTTTTTCTACCATCATGGCTCTTGTTGTCAAATGGCCCTTGGCAAAGGAAATGACAAGATGATTATTGATTCTTCCTTTTTGCCACCATTATGGCTCTTGTTGCCACCCATTCCTCGAAGAAGAAAAAAATCCCAATCAAATTCAGCGACTTTTACGGTACCCGGCGTAAATAAAAGAGGGGAGTCTCAACGACAGGCAGACTGTTTAAAAAAGAGCTGTTTGTCGATCAAGTTTGTTTTTTCCCTAACATGAAGCCATGTGTAACTACAAAGTGAATAACGCAAGACAAACGAACAATATCTTCGTTTAAGGCCTCCGCAAAAGACCATTAATTCACTATATTTAAACTAAAATAAGTTTTAATATATAGACAACACGCCAAAAGAAACACACCCAAGAAAAATCTACGGCTAAAATAGGAGTACAATCAGTTACTTTTTCGGCTAAACGAATCGAATCAAAAACATAGTTAACATTGAATTGTAAAAATAAACACGATTTATCAGCATTTTTTTCCAAAAAGGTCTGTTCACAGCAACGTTGAAGGTTCATTCCTTCAACAAGTCTTGGACCTTAAAATTTCTGCAACAAAGGAAGTGTTTACGCGCTTCCTTCCAGTAATCAATCACTTTCTCAACGCACTGATCGGTATAAGGATTCATGGATTTCTTTCTGTCGTGGTAGCCATCTGGTGCCGGATTAAACACGCCCGAATTTATCTTGAACTCTCCATTCATCACAGAGAAACCTTCAGCAATGACAATTCGCGTATTGCACTCCTCTCCAAAAGCACTTCTGTAAACAGCTCCATGAACTTGGCCAGGGCTTTTTCCCCGAAACTGTTTCACTTTCTCAGTTCCAGTATCCATAATCACAAGATATCCACTCTTACAGCGGGTACCATTGGCGGTTTGCCATTCCGACTTGTAATCGCAGGAGTAAATGATGACACCAGCGTAACAATAATCAGTTCCTTGATACGCATCTGACTTGCAGGAGATGTGGATTGTCTCAAAGGGAAACGAAGGAAGGTTTGGATTGTTAGGGACCACTTTTTCATTGGAAATTAAAACAGCTCGTTCACACATACCTTGAACCGACTCCATTGCAAAAAACACAGATTATTTCCTCACTATACTGATTCGAAAAAGAAATACAGGAACTTGTTTGGCCTCCTACAAAAAGGTTCTTATATTATTAAGACCTCGTCACGCGTTCCCCATGGTTACGAATGCGTGTCTAAGCAACGTCTACGTGACGTGAGAAGTTAGAAATTGTTCTCCTTCGTAAACCCTACCGTGTCGTTCGCCCGTGAAGCATCCGTTTCTTCCAGTTGGGGAGATATGGTTGACGGAAAGACAAAAACACCTCTGAAAAACATCTTATAATTAAACTCATCCATCTGACCCCTTATAGCTTCAAGCTTCAATTGTGAATAGTAAAGTTACGAGACGTCGTCGTCGTCGTGAGTTGTGCAAGCAGTCACAGTGAGAGGTGGGGGCAAAAAAAAAATTGGAAGAGGAGGATACCAAGGGCACCACTGGGAGCACAAAGAGAGTACTGAAGATGGGGCAGCGTTCAATGAGGTGGCTCGCAGTTTAGGGTACCCACAGGGGCAGATTCCACAAGCTACCGCACCCATGTCGTAAAATGAGGCCTGACTTTTCCCCCAAAAGATGCGGCAGACACATGTAAGGCTGACTTAGGCGTGACGTGGGAGGAGGTGGCCAACAGGTTTTAATGGAGGGCTCAGGAATGTAAGCGGTAATTGTGTAACCTGGTGTGTTTTGTCTCCCATCTCCTGCGCCACTGTTCCATGACCCACTTTAACTACTAAAGTGAGAGGGGCACTGGTCAAAGGCACTGGGACGCATACAGCTAAATTCTTGCGTTTAAGGTGCTGTTGTGAGTTCTCATTGCGACCCATGGCGCAAGGCTGTCCGGCAAATAAGATTTCTCGACGAGTTTCAGGACCGGGTGGTTCCTTCAGATGCTGGCAGGCGGGATGCTGCTACATCTGGTAACAAAACAAAACATACCAGAAGAAGTGGGGGTGTGGGGGCTAAGCATTCAGAGATGACTCTCAGGGAGTCGTAAATCATGGTGCCGACAGCTGAGGTGTGGAAAACTTGCGACCAGACAGAGCAGTATACTCTGCAGTAGAATACACCAAGGCAAAAGTCGACGTGCGGTGGAAGGTAAAGTTCGTACCCCCAGCGAGCGCCAGTTACCTTCCTGATCAGATTGCCCCTCTTGAAACACTTTTCTGCGACTAATTTCAGACTCTATAAAGAAACGCTTTTGAGAGGACTGCACAGCAACGAATACAAACGCTGAAGGTGTCTTTGTGATGAATGGGGCGTCAAAATTCAAGCGTGTTCAATCCAGCAGATGCCAAGCGAATCATACATCCAAATTAGCAAAATGTACTGAGAAGGTAAGTACTACTACCTGAAGGCAGAAAAAAGTTTTATATTTGCAAAAATATTGCAGTCCAACAAACTGAGGCCACTCACAACAGCGAGCGTGACGAAGACTGGTGCCTCCTCTTATAAGCTCATCACTGCTTCACTAGCTTTCGCACAACAAGGTTCGTCTCCTATGTGTCTTGGTTTGATAACTTTTCCATTAATTTACACTCCATCAGCTTTGACATCAGCGTCACCCAGGAGTGGGGATCAAGATAGCTGACAAGACTTAGATATAATTTGGATACTACACGACAATTAAAAGTCAAATACTTTCTCCCCCCAAAAAGTATTTTACAAGATTTACTTCAATATATTTCTTCGAAATGACTGAGAGTGAAAGAGCACTGAAAGAGACAGCGAAGAACAGAGGCAGAAAGAAAAGCGGCTCTAAATAAACTGACGACTACAACTCAGTGTGGACGACACAAAATTTGATAATGAATTATTTTATGAGAGCAAAATTTTCCTTCCATTTACGACCATTGATACGGTTCTACAACTACAATTACAATTAATTAAAACTTATGTAGCGCAATTTTCCATGGAGCATGATCAAATGCGCTTTAGAGTAGGTTAAAAGGTATAAAAAAAATGAAATAACATAATAATAACACAAATAAATAAACGGAACAAATACAGTTCACTAACAATATTCACTTACGGGGAAAAAAACTCCCATATTTAACAAAATAAGCAAACTGGAATATTCACGACAACGTTTGAAGCAACAATTGACGATTCTTTAGCATTACCGTCGTGTTTACTTAAGCTTCCAAATTATTTTATTACGTTACCCACCCTTTGTGGTTATTGGCAATTCCCTTAAAGACGTCATCCCACTTTGGTCTGCCATATTTTGTCTTGGCATCCAGCCGCGTTATGTTGTCTTGGGCACCTTCGGCATGCAAAGTAGTCTGAATAGCCTAAAAAATACAACAATTTTATCAAGTAACTACAACTACAAAGACTTTTCTCACTGACTGAAGTCGAATTTTAATAGATGTGTTATCGCGGTTCTAATTACACATCTTTGTATTATTGAGGGGATTATAAGAGCTCGGAATGGAGGGAACTTATTCACGGAATGTTATTCCTGTGATTTATTTTTACTTCCCCAACCACACTCCCCACCAAAAACCCTCCTCGGCACCTGCTATAAGCTTCCTTAAGATAATTCACACAAACACAGCGATGAATTCGTATAATAAAAATAATTTTAGGCAAAGAATTACAGAAACATTGGGGTAGGTAACTAAGGCATTCGACGCTAAACGAAGAAAAGGGATATGGCCCAAGGATTTATGGTATAATTAACAATTATTCCACGAGTGCGCGTTGGATATGAGATTATTTTAAACATTTCCGTTAAAAGGGGGGCGATTATTCGAGGGACGGCTATTATTCGAGGAAATACGGTATATCCAGCAACTTGAAATCTTAGCGACAGCCCTGCTGGACGGACAGACGTGGGGTGGGGGAACTGGTTACTGAACTTGTTAGTCTTACCAGTTTGTTATCCCATCCTGTGAGATAAATGTTGTATTCGACGAAGTGAAGCATTTCTAGTTCTGCCATCTGAAATTGGTAATGAAAGGTAAGTACCTTCTTACATGAAGCTTTAAGTAAATTACCCACATTCCATTCACCCGTGGCGGAGCAAGCATTTATTCAAGTGTTACGGTCCCAGTTGGAGCAAAACTATACAATTTCCTCATTCCTACTTCTCTTGTTCATGCTTGCATGCCAAACCATTTGCCCTTTATAGCTTACTGCACCGGCTAATTTCCAGCTGCTGGATTTTTTTTTTGTAAACGGCCAAAATCTTTAGTTTGTGATTCATTTTGGGAAGGTGGTGGTTTATCGGTCATACATAAGAAATGCAGCGAAACCTGTATTACGTTTACACTCAAGGGACCTTCGTTGTTGCCCGCTTACATACGTAATAGAGCTGTTCCCCAAATATCAAATCATTTTACAGAAACTACAGGGAAAAATTGAAACCTTGTGAGCTATTTTTCTACCTAATATGAAGTCCGCTTAATACAGGTTTCACTGTGGACGAATTTTAACACCATCACCTGGGCCTCAGAAGGCGAGAAAGGAGAGGAGACGCTAAAGAAATACATTCGCAAAAACGTGAGTGAAGAAAGAACTATTCAAGAGGGAATCCAGTTCTTGGGATAAGGCCTTCATTGCTGCGAAAGACAGAGGCGATAGGATGGCGCAAATTTCCC